TTTTTTTTTTTTTTTTTTTTTTTTTTTTTTTTTTTTTTTTTTTTTTTTTTTCGATAAAAAGTTTTTGATTTAATTTTAATTAAGAGATTGTCAGATTTAATAGTTTATACAATGTATTTTAAATAACAACCGGAAAAGGGAAATTTTTTTACTTTTAACTGACAAAACATAACTTGGAGAGAGTGTAGCAAGCAATCCAATTCTTTGAGTATTTTATTCCAATTAAAAAGTAATGATATCGGTTGGAAAAAAATGCTGTACACGATAGGAAAAAAAAAATTATTGTAAAATAAAGAATTTAAAATTTCTTTGAATGAAAAGAATAAAACTAACAGAATAAGGATGAAGAAATTCGTGGTTTTAAAGAATTGTACAACTCGGTGCAAGTACGTCAATTACGCATGCGGTGATCAGGGAATTGAAAACCTTATTTTAATCCCGCAGTAAGTATAGCACAGTTCTATTAAGCAATTAAGAAGCTGATCTAATTAAATTTACACTTTCAAAATTTAATAATTAAATCTCACGGCTCGGGGTGTGAGGCGCGTATAAGTTAATAAGCTGATGCGCGATCGTGGCTCTTTAATTATCGTATTTTAACGAATAGCGTGCCGTAATTAAATTCATTTTGTCGAGTTAGTCCGCTTTACACTCGTAGTGCTAATAACTTGAGAAAAGTTGACCCTCTGAGTTCATAACTGAGGTGTTATATAAAATAATTTTTTTTTTCTATCTCGCCTTATTTACATTAATTTTACGACGTACCTATATTTATTTTAGTAAAAGCAAAATGTACATTTTGTACACTAATTGATTGTTCATTGTGTAGTGTTGGTAAGAGCTGGATATGTGAATTTCTTACATTAATGTGTACGGCTGCTGTTACTCTTGTCAAAAGCAACCAATCTTGCAGTGTCCTCGTTCTAATAATTATAATATTTTATGATTCAAGTAAATTAATACTATAGTTTTTATTTTAAAAACAGATTCTACATATGGAGTTCTTCACTTTTAAAATATTCTTGCTTGTCTAAAATATTCAAACCTTTTTCTTTAAAATCATACAATTATCAATGACACGCTGAATTTTCAACCCGAATCGCCGCCCTAAGGCAAGGTATTATTCAAAATTATTAAACAAAAAGTATTTTTCGTACGTTACAGGATAAAAAACTCTCTTACCAGTAACTTCATCGTAAATTTCCAAGCATTTTTTGACTTAAACTGTCTCCTTTTCGACTGAAACAGTCAATGCACTTATGATATAAGACTGTGGTTGGACTAATATCCATGTACACCCTCTTTGTCCTGTAATCGCTTTAAAAATACGTATGACTAACAAATACAACAAATTGATGGCAATCAAAACAAGAATCTACCAAATATAAAAAGTAGATACAAAATTTTCGATGAATATTGGCTGTTTTAAAAAAATTTTCTAATTTTATATTGTTAAAATATAAAAATTAACCAGTAAATACTACTAGAACAGATAATGCACGTGAGTTTACATTAATAAGTTCAACCTACTGTACATATTTTGATTATGAAATATGAACTTTCAAAGTATAAATAGTATGATTTTAAAGGAAAAACGTAAGTTTTCTTATATATGGGTCATTCTACGAAAATCGGCATATTTCAAGGGCCGGAATGAACAATCGCTTAAAATGGGGTGTTAANTCCACTACGTCATACTCTATTATTGTGTGTGTCGTATAAAATGGCTATTATCGAAAAATCTGGTTTTAGATAATTACTTCTCCTCTACGTGGAAGAAAAATTTTTTTTTTTTTTAATTCTTATTTTATTTCAAAAAAATAGCTTTACGAGCTCTAATATTTTATAATCTCATTATAACTGAGATAAAGACGCTCTCCGTGTAAATTTGACTTTATTCTCATACTTATAAATTCATATCATTGCTGACAAAAGGGAACATCCATTTCATGGTCGTATAACTTTGTCAGTTTTTATGCTAATAACGTTAGAAAAAAAACTGATTTTTATATATTTTTTTTAAGTACTTAAGTAAGATCTTGAAAAAAAATGTTCAACCAGAATTTGTCGTGAATTTAAAGAACAACTTTCAGTAAGCTATGATTCGGCTCACATTGCAGAGCTATAAGAATGCAAAAAAAAAAATTGTCGTTTAATATGCTTAGTTTCGGCATGTTTTTTTTTTTTTTTTTTTTTTAATTAAGTATTCAAGTTTTAGAACTTATTAATTTTTATGATTATCTATTCAGATTAAATTCAAGTTATTTGTATTGAATGGAGATCACAAAAGAAATATTTGAAGATTTTACTCTGCTATGAATGTTAAGATGTAAATCAATATTCAAAAATAAGTGGAGCAAGGTGATGGATTTGTTAGAAAATCATGAAAAAAGGAGACTGAAAAATTTTTATTAAAATAGAACACATACTTTCTTTATTTAATTGTATCATGAATAATTTTTTTCGACACTCTTTGTCTTAGCAATTCTAATGCTTAATGAAAAATTCTTAAACGTACTCTTACATATGAACGTTACTTATTGACTATAGCCTTGTTCTACTCTTTTCTGTCTCCTCCTTAATTCGTTATTTATTCTATCACCGCATCTTCGAAGCCATTCGGCAATTCGATTCCTTACAGCATCTATATGAATTTGATGATGTTCTTGAATAAGATCTGTAGATAATTCCACGAAATAGCTTTAAAAATCTGAAATTTTTGTGAAAAAAACCACCAATGAAATTGCTTAAAGACTTACCAACTATCAACCCAACCATGTTAGATGTACCAAAAGGGACAGTATCTTTCACACCTATCCAAGAAATGTTTTTACACAATTCATTTGACAGAATCGAAGACATAATATTTGATACTGATTTTTGTTCCGTTGGAACAAGCAACTTATTTAGCTTTACAATCTACAAAGTAAACCATAATTCATAGTTTTATAATATA